AAGTGAAAGAACAAGTGAAAGATGAAGAATGAGAGAGAAAATCACTCACATGAGCTCACATACACAAGGGGGAAAGTTGCGATTCACATGGGAGAGGTAGAATGGACAAAACAAGCACACTACACTACTCAAAACACTAGAATATATGAAGATGGAAGTTGCGATTCACACCCAAGTGAGAGAACAAGTGAATGATGAAGAATGAGAGAGAAAATCAATCACATGAGCTCACATACACAAAGGGGAAAGTTGCGATTCACATGGGAGAGGTAGAATGGACAAAACAAGCACATTACACTACTCAAACACTAGAATACATGAAGATAGAAGTTGCGATTCACACCCAAGTGAAAGAACAATTGAAAGATGAAGAATGGGAGAGAAAATCACTCACATGAGCTCACATACACAAGGGGGAAAGTTGCGATTCTCATGGGAGAGGTAGAATGGACAAAACAAGCACATAACACCCCCAAAACACTACACTACACCAAGATATAAGTTGCGATTCACACCCAAGTGAAAGAACAAGTGAAAGATGGCGAATGAGAGAGAAAATCACTCACATGAGCTCACATACACAAGGGGGAAAGTTGCAATTTACATGGGAGAGGTAGAATAGACGAAACAAACACATTACACTACCCGAACACTACACTACACCAAGATATAAGTTGCGATTCACACCCAAGTGAAAGAACAAGTGAAAGATGGAGAATGAGAGAGAAAATCACTCACTTGAGCTCACATACACAAGGAGGAATGAGTAGAAAAAAGAGGGAGAAGAAGAAGGAGAAGTAGAAGAGGAAGAAGAAGAAGAGGAAAAAGAAGAAGAAGAAGAAGAAAAAGAAGGAGGAAGAAGAAGAAGGGGGACGGAGGAGAGGGAGGTGAAGGAGAGGGAGAAGAGGAAGAAGAGAAGGGAGAGGAAGGGGAGGCATTTCTCCACTCACCCCCTTGGCAGCCTTGGGATGGAGGCCTTCACTCTTGATGAACTTCCTCTCACTTGGCTATGGTTTCCTTCCCCTCCAAGCCCTTCTCCTTCCTTTCTCCTCTCTCCCCAAGTTGCCACAGACTCCTATCACTAAGGCTAGGGAGTCCTCTCCTCTAGGAGGGCTAATGGGACCCCTCTTAGCCTTGCCTTCTTCCTCACTAGACTGGGAGCTATGGCGGATCACCTCCCTCACTACCACTAGCTTGTAGAGTCCTCCACAGTAGCTCACAACCTCCTCTACACTCTCAGACTGGCAGGGGTTCCCCTCACTTCACTCCAAGTGAGTCTAGAGCTCCTACGAGCACATTTGGGCAGCATGGGCACTCCTCATGCAAGTGTGAGTGTGGCGGACTGAATCCCCAACTTATATAGGCTGGGAACAGCAGTCCGGCCAGCCCATGGGCCTCTCGAAGTGGCCCATAGTGAACTGAGGTACCCCGATGGTCAATTTTCAACTCGAGGCCTCTCCGGGGGCACCTGGGCCTCATTTTGGCCAGATTCATGCAGTCCGAGTGGTTGGTACCAACACAGACTTCCCCTTGGGCCTCTTTCCAACCTCCTACCCCTTGGAAAATGCTGCCTACTTGAGTTCAAGGTCCAAGGGGTAACTTACTTGAGAGAAAAAGGCCTAGTGGGTCTTTTTCTCGATTTTTTCAAGTTTCGGCCACCCTTGGGTAGGCCGGAGCATTTTTCCAAGTGGCGGCACATTTTCAGCCTTGGATCAGGCTGAAATCCAAGGCCCCTATTATTCCGAGTTACCCCATGGTGGTCCTTGCTTCAAATTTGAGCTCATAAGCTCAAATTTTCAATTTTTGGTGCATCTGGCTCTCTTTTTGGGCCAAATGCACAGTTTCGTCTTTTTCTTTTTTTGTTTCTTTCCATTTTGGGTTGCGACCTCATTCCGGAGCTAGCCGTTTTGGGCTGGCCCACAAAAACGGATGTTTTCTCTCCACCATGAAATATGATCTCAGATCCATGGCTCAAAAGAAAACGGGTTTTCTCCTTTTTGCATTTTCTTTCTTTTTGCCCTCTTTAATTCAGATTTTGTGGAGATATGGCCCTTCCGGCCTACCCTCCTTGAATCTAAGACGGGTGAGGTCATCATTGGGACCTGGCAGTCCCTACTGCAGCAGTCCCAATGGGTCGACACATTTTCCTCCGCCCATTTCTCCCCTTTTGTCTCATTCTTCCTCCATTTTCTCTCCTTTTTCTTTTTTTTTTCTTTTTTTTTTTGTTGTCACAATTGTCAAATTGTGGTGCCCTCTCTTTCTAGGCTCTAGAACCTCATTCAAGGCCAGGTTCATGGCCTGCTGTTGGCCGTTATACTCCGGATTACAATAATGCCACCCCCATGCTTCTACGGGGCTCATTTTGCTCCCGTTAGCCTCCATTTTGAGCCCCTTTGACTTCGATTTTTCATGGCCAGCCTATTTCTTGCTTGGAGCCCCCTTGGGCTCTTGTTTTGTCATGCCTAGCTTGTCCGAAATATCCGGGACTGCTGGGCAGCTCTCCCCTTATTTATTTTTCTTTGTCTCCTCACTCCCATTTCGCCCGTTTGAGCCCCACTAGTGCTTGCACTAGCGGTGATAATATTTTCTGCCGTCGAGATCCTCGATCTCGGCGGTGCTATTTGCCTTGCATGGCCACTCCCTACCTTGGTTAGTGGTCTCTCATTGGGACACCCGAAGTCCCCACCATTTCCCCACGCTAGTTCCATTTTTCCGTCCCGCTGGCGGTGCCATCGACAACGCCCAATTTTCATCAATTTTTATTTGGGTCCATTTGACCCCCAACGTCATCCCGGTCGATGCCCAGTTTTTATTTGGGACTTTCCATGTCCCCGGCAGTCCCATTTCATTGTTCCCATGTGCCTCAAGTGCGCCGTTTATTTTCCCGGCCGCAGGACCCCCGCCTTGCCGTCACCATTTACCGTTATGCTCCCCTATGCCTACGGCGTCGTGTTATAGTCTTTTGGGCGTGCCGTGGCTTATTTCCCCTAGGCCTAGCCATCCCCATGCAGTCCGCTATCTCTCGAACTGCAGCCACAACCAATGTTCTAGTCCCACAGCCCCACATCATACCCCATGCCCAAGGAAAACGAAGCGTTAATTTTCCAAGGGCATCCGGGCTCAATTTTGGCTTTCGGAGCCCCAAAAACTTGTGTTTGCCTCTCCCTATGCAGTCCATTGCAACTCGGACTGCAGTTGGGGCTGTTTTCATTGTCCTAGTGCCTCACAACTAACCCCCAACTGAAAGAAAATAAAACGGCCAACTCCCAAGTGCATCCGGTCTCCATTTTGGCTCCCAGTGCACCTAAAACATGTGTTTGGCCTCTCCCATGCAATCCGTTATTTTTCGATTGCAAGGGGCCTTGATTTTCTTTGATTTTCTCTGCATAAATCAAAGAAAATCAAAGTCCTTTGTAACCGCCACATATCCAAATGAATCTGGTCCAATATGCCCTCCCTAGGTGACCGTTTTCGTCCGTTAGTACCCTTTTGACTTTCCCCCTTTTCTTTTCTTTTTCTTTTCTTTTCTTTTCTTTTCTTTTCTTCTCCTCCACTTGTGGACAGTTGGGACTTGTCAGTCCCTACTTGCGGCAGTCCCAACTGACGGCCAACTCACTCATCCTCTCTCACCTCCCATTTTCTTTTTCTTTTCTTTTTCTTTGTGCATGCCAAGTGTCAACTAGCCGTTAAGGCGCTTTCCTTGCCTCTTCCTCTTAGTTTTGGCCCTTCGTATGTCCAAGGGCCAGTCCGTTATTTCTCGGACTGCAGTTGTGGCCCTTCCATGCCCTTGGGAGTTACCGTTTGCCCCTCACTCTTCCAAACGATAGGCCCCCTATGCACTGATTTTCTCCGGGAAGCCTGTTTTTCTCATATTGACTCTTTTGGCCCCATTTTCTTGGAGGAGGCCAAACCGAGATTTTTCGGATTGCTCCCATGCCTCTAGCACTTGCTTTCTTTACTTTTTATTTTTCTTTTGGCCTTCCCACTTGCTCCCACTAGTGCTTGCACTAATGGTGCAAATATTTTGGCCGTCAAGATCTCCGAACTTGACGGTGCAACTTGTTTTTTTTTTTTTTTGCACCACATGCCGTGCCACAATTTTCCCTGGGACGTCACAAGTCCCCGACACTTATCCCGCATTAATTCCCGACACTAGTCCTGCCGGTACTTGTCCCGCTTGCACCACATTTCCGCCTAGTCCCATGTGGTCCCCGACACTTTGTCCCGCTAGTACCACATTTTTGCCTATTCCCGTGTGCTCCCGGACACTTTGTCCCACCGGTACCACATTTTTACCTAGTCCCGTGCGGTCGCGTTGACACTCTTGCCGTTTTTCTGCCTCCTGGCAGCCTCCTTCCCTTGTGTCTTCTCGCGTCCCGCGCACCGTCCTCCCCGGGTGCGGGTCCTCACTTGGCCTGTGGCCCCCTTGGCCCTCTCGGCGTCGCATCCCGGTGGCCCCCTTTGGTCCGGGCTACGTCTTCATGCGCCGGTATCTCACTTGTCGTCTTCTCCCTTCCTTTCTCCTTGCGGGGCGCGCCCCACGTCATTACTTCTTTCGGCGGTCCTTCTCCTTTTTCGGGGGAAGGGTCGCCTTTGCCATTTTCTTGCGGTCCTTTGCCGCCGCTTGTTCCGTTAATTTCCTCATGGTTCCATGGCCCCAACGACTCCGGGCAGCCTCTAGATCCCAAGTGTTTGTGCCTACGCCTTCAATCCTTTCATCCTCCTTGCCTCCGGTTTTCTCTATTGTGCACAAATTTGCCATATACAGTCTCTCGAGTGACGGGATGTTATTCGGGACTCACCAGTCCCGACACCTGTGCATAGATGACGTCCCCGTGTACTTTGCCCCGCATGCAAGCGAGGCGGTGTGCTTCGATATCTTGGACACCAAATTCGACATGATCTTGGGCATGCCATGGCTGCGAAGCGAGGATCACCCGATGAACTTCTCCCGCCGCACCGTTCACGTTCGTGACCGGAACAGAGTGCTAGTCCCATGCACGGTAGCTCCTCCTCACCCTTCGATCAGCTGCCACGTGGTGTCCGCCGCAAGCATGCGAACTTCCATCATCAGAGACGACATCGAGGAGATGGGGGTGTGTTTTCTCCACGCCCTCCCGCCCCATGACGCTTCACCGACGGACTCATCTTCGGACCCACGCATCACCGAGTTTCTCGACGCCTACGGCGACGTGTTCAAAGGCCCGCACGGAGTAGTACCGGATCGGCCCATCCGCCACGAGATCATCCTCGAGGACGGGGCCGTACCTCCGCGCGGTTGCATCTACCGAATGAGCGAGGAAGAGTTAAGTGTGCTTCGGGCACAACTCGACGACCTTCTGGAGAAAAGATGGATTCGGCCTAGCTCATCGCCATACGGTGCTCCTGTTCTCTTCGTCCGGAAGAAGAACAAGGATTTGCGGTTGTGCATTGATTATCGCAAGCTCAACGCGCAAACAATCAGAAACGCCGACCCTCTCCCACACATCGACGACCTTCCCGAACCATTGGGCGGCGCCAAGTTCTTCTCCAAGCTGGATCTCAAGTCGCGATATCACCAACTCGAGATTCGGAAGGAGGACTGCTACAAGACCGCGTTTAAGACGCGATATGGGCATTTCGAATGGCTGGTTATGCCATTTGGCCTTACGAATGCCCCGGCCTTTTTCCAAGCGGCTATGACAACGGAGTTCCGACACATGCAGGATCGATTCGTACTTATCTACCTCGACGACATCCTGGTGTACAGCCGGAGTTTGGACGAGCATGTGGAATACCTGCGCACCGTTTTGGAGCGGCTACGACAAACCAAGTACAAAGCCAACCACGACAAATGCGAATTCGCGCGGCAGGAGCTGGAGTACTTGGGACATTATGTGACACCACAAGCCATCCGTCCGCTTGCGGACAAGATCGAGGCCCTCCGCGTATGGCCCGAGCCCACCAACACCACGGATGTTCGTTCATTCATGGGGTTGGCGGGCTACTATCAGCGATTCATCACCGAATACTCAAGGATTGTTGCACCTATGACGAGATTACAATCGCCAAAGGTGCCATTCGTATTCGATGACGACGCACGTCGGTCATTCTTAGCACTTAAGACGACCATGCTCATGGCACCCGTCCTTAGCATCTATGACCCCACCCTGCCTACGGGAGTGACAACTGACGCTTCCGGCTATGGCATTGGGGCAGTCTTGGAACAACACGACAACGACGACTGGCACCCTGTGGAGTATTTCAGCCACAAAGTGCCTCCCATCAACTCGCTTGATGATGCAAGGAAGAAGGAGCTGCTCGCGTTCATGATGGCTCTCAAGCGATGGCAGCACTTCCTCTTTGGGCGTCGTAGGTTCACATGGGTTACGGACAACAACCCACTGACTTACTACAAGACGCAGGATACGGTGAGCAGCACGATCGGACGATGGATGTACTTCATCGACCAATTCGACTTCACACCGAAACATCTTCCCGGCCTCTCCAATCGCGCAGCAGATGCACACTCGCGAAGACCTGATCTTTGCGCTATGACACATCATGCCTTCGCATTCGACGAGGAACTTCAGCGACACTTCATCCGGGGATATGAGTCGGATCAAGACTTCGCCATGTTGTATGCGCAGCTATCTTCGGATCACCTGCCGGCCAGCCACTATCGCATTGTCGACGGGTACTTGCTCATCCACTCGAGAGGCAAGGACTTATTGTGTGTCCCACGAGACCGTCGTCTTCGGACTCGCCTTCTTGGTGAGTATCATGACTCGCGACTCGCCGGCCATTTCGGAGTCAACCGCACCATTGCACGGCTTCGACAACGATTTCGATGGCCCGACCTCATTACCGATGTCACTCGGTATTGCGACTCTTGCGAAGTTTGTCGACGAAGCAAGCCCCGCAATCGCAACCCCTACGGCAAGTTGCGCCCGATGCCTATCCCACGGGAACCCGGCCTCTCCATTGCCATGGATGTCACCGGACCATTTCCTCGCGATCGCCTCGGGCACGACGGCATCCTCACGGTTGGGGACCGTTTGAGTAAGTATGCGCGTTTTCTCCCTTGCAAGTACTACTTCACGGATCCCGAGCTGGCACGCCTCTTGCACACTGGTTGGATTTGTGGCCACGGTGTACCGGAAGACATAGTCGGCGACCACGACACTCGCTTTATGTCGGCATTTTGGACTGTTCTCATGCAGGAGTCCGGCACGAAGATGAAACCAAGTTCGGCTCGGTATCCACAAACGGACGGGCAAACGGAGCGGGTACATCAAACCGCTCAAATGATGCTTCGTACACTCATCCGTCCAGACCAGAAAGATTGGGTTGACCGCCTCCCCGACATTGAGTTCGCCTACAACACTTCGGTGCACCCGGCGATCGGCGTGACTCCATTCGAGTTGCACCACGGTGGACGGAAAGGCCGTATCTTCGCCGACCTTCTCCTCCCACGACCAGCCGACATCAACGCCGCTTGCTCTCCCGCTTCCGTCCGGAAGTACAGGGAATTGCTGGCTGAAGTCTGCGCGAACATGCAAAAGGTTCAAGTCCGCATGCAGCAGCAAGCCAACAGGCGTCGCCTGCCATGTCCCATCCGCGCCGGTGATCTGGTTTGTGTCTCCGCGGAAGAGTTTGCACTCGAACATGATGTTTCACGCAAACTGCTTCCCAAGTGGTTTGGACCATGGCCCGTAACATCAGCCGCGGGCGATGAGCCTGATGACCCTTCATTTGTGATCAACATCCCGACGTATCTGACGGTCCATCCAGTCTTTCACGCCTCGAAGCTGGCAACATATACACCAGCTAAGAGCGACGACTTCCCAGGCTGACGATCGCAGGACCCTCCATCTATGAATGGTCATCAGGAGGTTGACCACGACATCACGGATCGCAAGTACGGCAACAAGCCTCGACAGTACAAAGTTACATTCAGAGCATGCGATCCCGACGACACTCGGTGGATTTCAGGAACAGATTTGAAAGCATCCGCACCGCTGATCTACGCTCAGTACGAGCGACAAAGGCTAGCTCAGGGACCTTCACGACTTGCCCCTCCCACCCGGACTGTGGTCCCTCCCTCAGACAGACAGCTTCGCCCTCGCAGGTAAGCTCGGTCTTTCGAGGAGGGGGGGTGTGGCATACTGCGTAGTCACACGGGCCTGCAGGGCCCGTCCCGCATTTCCAGCCTAAAAGCCTAGAAATAAGGGCTTACAGGCCCCTGTCGTTTCAGCCTGAAAGATTGAAAAACGAGGGCCTGCAGGCCCTATGTCGTTTCAGCCTAAAACAGGGTTTTTCAGCGTGAAACGGAGGGCCACTTTTGGGCCCTCATAAGATCGACCTACCCTAAGATTTAGGCACAAAAACAGGGTTTTGAAAACAGGCTATTTCTGGCCTGTTCCCCACGACAGCCTCAAGCAGGAGCTGCAGCGGCTGCCTCTGACTCCCTTCGGCATTGGCAAGAGCAGCCTCCTGGACTGCCTCGCCCTGCAGTCAGGAGGCACCCGAGTAGTACATAGGAAGTTCCCATGCACTTCACGGGTAGGTAGTTGGACAGTAGGTAGGAGTATTCTTCAGGATTCGGCCGCAGCACTCAGGAGGAGCGCTGCAGGGAGTAGCTTAGCGCTAGCAGTAGTCTTCAACGTTGGGCGCTAGTAGCCATAGCAGTAGTCTTCAGCGCTGGGCGCTAGTAGCCATAGCAGTAGTCTTCAGCGTTGGGCGCTAGTAGGTGGTAGTAGTAGAGTTGGGAGAGATGGCTGGCGGCGGCCAGTGGGACTTACCTGTGGCGCCATGGCTCCAACTCCATGTTCGAGGTACCTGCATCAAGGCGCCAACTTCACAGGTTAGTACCGGACTGAGAGAGAGAGAGAGAGAGAGTTCTTCTTCTTCCTCTTCTAAGTCCACCATCTCTTCTTCCCCTCTCACCACCTGACTTCTCAGTATCAGCGGACTACTACAGAGAGAGAGAGTTGTGACTTGAGACTTGACGACATTGGATCCAGACACGACATTGGGATTCAGACATTTTGACGAGGGACTATTTGGGCCTGTGTCGAAGACTTGTTCCCCTCTTCTTCGTCTAACCCCCCTCTTCTTCGTCTGTGTATGGTTGGGGCTGGCGCATTCTTCCTGTGTGAGCGCCAGACCCCTTCACACCATGGAGATGATGATGATGATGTATGTTCTGGGCTGCATTGCAATATCTTGTACTTTGTATTGAGAGGTCGGTTCTTGTTCTGGTCTGCACCGTTACAATATGCAACACTGACCCTCGATCTGAACTTCAATCGAGGGCTGGGAATCTTGATGTTCCACTAGGAACATCAAGTCCCAACTTTTGGCAATGCACCCGACCGCCACCCCCGGCCAGGTGCACCTTCGAAGTGGCTGTATAAACCCATTTTCAGCAGATTGTTGAAATCAACAGTCTACTGTCACTTCAAGGTCCAAATGTTTCTCTGCCCTGCATCTGGATTGAGGTCGTGAACGAATTCTTGACTGTTTTTTTTTTTCCAACTCTTCTCCTCTCCTCTTTCTTTTCATTGCTTTAGGGCCTCGTTAGACACTCCTTACGGGTTCCTTAAGCCACAAGGAAACGTCCTTGTGGATTTTTAGGGGAATTTGCGGCGCCGTTCCACTCATCCTTGGGGATGTCCCCCGAGGATGTTTCCTTGTGGCTTCCCCGTGGCCATTTTCGTACGTAAATTAGCGGCCGTGGGGTCGGACGTCCTTGGTCCAGCTTCTTTTGTCCGTGTGGAGGCGGCGTTGTCCAGCGACGCGAGGCGGGAAACGGCAGACGGCGGGCGACGCAGAAAGAAATTTAACCCCAAGGGCGTGGGCATTTCAAATTCAAAATTCGAACGACTGCTGCCACGACGACGACGACGTGTGCTGCGGAAAGGGGCTGAGCGGCGGCGAAGGTTCCGTCCCCAGACCGTTGCGACCGCGCGGGCACCGTGTGGTGCTTCCATCGCCGTGGACCTTTGAACACATCGACTGCGCGTTGCTCCTCTTTGCCGTTTGCGGGACTGTAAGCATAGAAAAGGGGCCGCCTTTCGACGAACGTCTTCAACTTCTTCGTCGCGTGCGGAAGTACGACACAGACGGCAGCGGAACGACGTGACCTTTTCCACGTCGTGGCTATGGAGGGCGGCGCGGAGGGTAGACGTGATGCGTTGACTCATCGTGAGCTGCAGGCCATGGCGACGACCGTGTCCATGATCGTTCTTTGATGTCAGCAGGAGAGGGCGCTGGGGCGACTGAAGGAGCAGTTGCGCGCACGTAGACGGAGGAAATTGACGCAAGATCCGTGCGATGGGGCCGAATACGTGGCGACGCCGGAGGCTGTTGTTCAGTTGTGCTACGCGTTGGGTTGCGGAGTGATACCACGTGCGACGCCGCGGTGGTGGGTGAAGCGCAGGACAGGAGGCACGTGGGAAAACCTCAGGCCATGCGACGACGCGACAGACGACTATTTCCGGGATAAGCTTCGAATGTTGCCTCGAGTGTTCAGGGAAATCGCGGAGGCGTGTGCGCCTCATCTTCAGCAGCGGGTCACGTTCTATAGGGAGCCTTTGCAGCCGGACCAGATTGTGGTGTACGCGCTGCATAGGTGGGCTTCAGGAGAGACGTACGAGAGCAGCACGTGCAACTTCGGGATTGGACGAGCTTCTGGGCTGATTGCCGTCCGCGATGTTACTGCCGCGCTGCTAAGGATGTTCGGAGAGAAGATCGCGTGGCCGACAGGACTTCGTAAACTCGTCGTTCTGCGGGCGTTTGCTAATAAAGGGTTCCCCAATTGCCACGGTTGCATTGATTGTACTCATGTCTACATCGACAAGCCGGCGAACGCTCCGAGCGAAAACTACTACGACAGGAAGCGGCGTTTCTCCATCGTCACGCAGGTTGTCGTCGACCTGGACTTGCGTGTGCTCGACGTGCTCATGGGATACCCAGGTAGCTGCCACGACATCAGGGTGCTGCAGTTGTCCAGCCTGTCGCTGCGCGCAGAGGAGGGGTCGTTGTTCCGTGGTCCCCCCGTGACACTGCCGTTCGGTGTGAAGATGAACGGGTATGTTCTGGCGGACAATGGGTACCCCCCTTCCGAATGGATGGTCGTCCCGTATGGAGGCATCAATCAGCACGTCGACGAGGAGCGGTTTGACAACAAACAGAAGGTGGCGAGGGGAGCGGTGGAGAGGGCGTTCGGCAGGCTGAAGGGCATGTGGCGGCTGTTTCTGCGGATACACAAGACAAACCTGGACACGCTCCCGCAGCAGTTCACCGTCGTGTGCATACTGCACAACATGCTGATCGGCGCAGGAATCCCCTTCGACGAGAATCTGCTATGGGAGGTCGACGCCAATGGTGTGCGACAACGTGTGGACCTGGGGATCGAAGAGCCCCTCTAGCCTGTGTTGATGATGACGTCGACAGGCGAAGCGTTGGCGCTGAGGGATGCTTTGGCGGAACGATTGAAACACGATTGAGTCGTGTTTCATTCGTGGACGGCAGCGTGTGGAAGTACATTCATTGCAGCAATGGGCGGAGGGCAGATTCCTTGTTCCGTCCTGCCTTCATTGGGTCGCTATCGTTTGTACCCCGTCGGGGTTGGTGGTTTGCGTGGAGGGTCGTGTTCCCCTTGGTGGACGGTCGCGCGTGGAAGCGCGTTCATTGCAGCAATGGCCGGAGGGCAGATCAGTTGTTTCGTCCAGCCTTGATTGGGTTGCTAGCTTTTGTCCTGCGTCAGGTTGGTAGTTTGCGTCGAGGGTCGTCTTTGGTTGTCGTCGTGATTCGCGGACGTACGTCGCAGTCCGTTTTGTTGATTATAGTTGTTGTCGTTGGAGTTGTGCAGTGCGGACACGGCGCACTGCGGGTGTGAAGTGCGCCGATTTTTTGGCACATAGGATAGAGCACTGTTGATCATTCGGGTGGGCCTTGAACTTCTCCCCCACCTCCCTTCGATTTTGAACTCTCCGCTATGAATTGTGTAACGACATCGCGAATCCCTTTCTAAGTCTGTATTGTCCATTTCCATTACGTGTTGGCGGTGTGTGAGTGTGAGTATCTCATTGCGTTGATATTGTGTGTTGCTATTTCTTTGCGTTGATGCAGTGTGCCATTGCATGTTCACAATATGTTTTGTGGGACATCTCATGTTGTTTGATGCGCTGCGCTTTGTCTTCATGCGAGTGTTGGACCGGAACACGAACACATGTTTTGTTCATCATTTGGAGTAAGTGGGGGAGGAAAAAAAGAAATACAAACCAAACAAAGCAACGACCAACAATGGCACATGCAAATGGAGAAGAGACGTCTGAATGTGCATCCAAGAAGGTAAGGACCGTTCAGGTGTGTGATGAGTTATCAGACATGATCTTAAAACTGACGAAATTTTGTTCTGAATTGAAATAATAATAAAAAAAAGGTGCGCTCCAAGCGCAATCAACTTGTCTCGCCATAAGCTGCGCCGACAACAACACAAAAGAACATCGCACAAACCTACTCCGCTCCTACAATCTGTTGAAGGGACCGCCGTTTACCGTCACTTCTCCAGCATCGGCAGCCAAACACAATCCACATCCACAAGCAACCACAACCGCAGTTGCATCACGCACCCTACCAAACTGAACGACCGAAAAAGTCGGGCGTCTGCATGTACGAGCGACACGGTGTACACGTGCGGAACGAAAGGAGAGGCCATCAACAATCCGTTATCGTAACGCGGCGCGTCTCCGACGCCGCGAAGCGCTGCCCCCTCTCCGCTTCCCCTACCCACGCCGGAACACGAGACCCGTTCGCGTACCCTCTCCCACGCTGCACGTGTCAGCACCAGCAACACCCTCTCCCACCCAACCTCCCCCCTACGTGTCCTCTTTTCCATCGTCGTCGTCGTCGTCCTCCAAGGGGCCCGAACCCAACTAATCCCTCCTCTTCGCGTCCTCTGGCCCCGTTTTGGTCGCATCGTGCCCGAAGACGATGTCGCAGGAAGCCCAGTCGGGGATGTACTTCGGGTACTCTCCGAGTGTGGCGTTCGCCTTCCCTAGTCTCTCCGTGACGGCGTTCGTGGCTCGGATGACGGACCGTCGACGATCGAAGGCGCGATGCATGGACGCGACGAGCGTGGGCTTCACGACCAGCTTCGCGAAGTGAAAGGCTTCGAAGTGGCTGCGCGGATCGTCTCCCGCCATGCGCATCAACCACATGCAGGCAGCCAAGAAACGTCTGAAGCAATCTGCAATTCTAGACAGACGATCGTGCGAGATGAACCCGCCGTCGACGATGCCACCCATTTGTACCGCGGCGCGAAATGCATGCGCGATGCATATAAAGGTCGCCTGCTGGTGTGCCGCCATGTCATCGTCCTCCAGCCTGTCCTCGATGTTCGCGCCCGCAAACCACAATGGCAAGTCCATGTTCAGGTCGATTGTGTGCGCGCAAACTGCCGCGCTAACGACGTTGCTCCACTCCTCGCCGTACCACATGACGCCCGCAATGTCCGTCGCCACCGACTCCAGCGCGTACTGGAAAGCGACATTGAATCCTCGGGGACGGTTCCCGGACTTGAAGACCCATCCATGCAAGACGCGCAGAGCAATATTCTCCGCTGCCGTCGCGCGGGCGATCACCTGCTGTAGTTGTGCGGGATCTGCAATCCTTGTGAGGGTCGTCGACAATTTCGGCATGACGACGCTCCTGGGCACGACGGGCGTTTGCAGCCCACTGGCGATGGCGACAAAGTACTCCCGCGATTCGTGGACGATGTTGTACAACCTTCGCCCCTCCCCCGTCGTCCAGAATGCTTTGTCATCGACCTACAGGCGGGCATGGTCGAGCAGATCTCTCGCCATCCCTCCCCTCCGAACCCGGCTTAGAAGGGGGTCTTCATCCTCCCTTTCACCCTTGTTGTCGCCGCGCGTCGCCTCCCGCTCCACAACTGGGACCTCTTCTCTCGCCCTCACCACGGCACCAACATTGCCCGAATACCCCGTGGCTGCAACAGCGATCGCCCCCCCACCCGCCACGCACGCTTCTTGTTGGGCCCCCTCCCCTCCCCCGCGTTCCATGGAGCCCCCCTCTGCAGCCGTGTTGCGCGGGCGCGGCTGGGACAGCGTGGAGGGCAGGCCACCCTAAGGTGGGCTTTCTTCAGTCGCGGCGCGTATCCTGACTGCCGTCGCCGTGGCGCCCCGTGTGACATTGTGCTGCCTACGGCTTTCCAACGGCTCGTCGTCCTCGCCGCCGATGTCGACGACAACCTCCTTCGCCTTCTGGGTGTTGTGCACAAAGAGTGTAACTCGTCCGAGGCAAGAAGAATGAAGCAACGGGGCGAAAAGAGTGTAACTCGTCCTTCTCAATGAAATCGGGCGAGAACAAATGCTAGATAGGGGTTTTTAGGCTGGACGAACCGGAATCTGACATTAGTTTCCGTGGAAAGTCTGTAGAATGAGAGATAGAGAAGAAAAGAGGTGCGCGGGGATATGGAGGAGAGTGAGTGTGGCGAAAGGGAAAACGAAGTAACTCACTCAATTGTCCATGGAATTGAGCGAGTGAAGATGCGAAACGGGGGTTTTGAGGCGGGGCGAATGCAGTGGTAGCATTAGTTTTTGCACTGGGTCGTTAGTCTGGTCGGGATGAGTGGTAGGAGCTGCGCATGAAGAAAATACACCTCACGGGTAAAGTGTAACTTTTGTGTTTCGGGAGAAGATTCATTTTTCTTTTTCTAACTTGTTATTTTCTGTTCGTCATCGTGACCCCGGCCCGACTGATGTCCTTGCTGCTCACCGTTATTGATCAATCTTGAGAAATGCGTTGGCAAGAGTGAGAGAGAGGAGGCATGAGAAGGGGGGAGGGAATGAACCTACCTGCGTTCTAGCTGAATATTCATTCTCATTTTTCTTCGAGTGTAATTAGCTCCAACTTCGAAGTTATATTCCCCTCCTCTTGCTGCTATCGGGGTCGCGATTGTCATCATGTTGATCAAGGTTTACCCCGATCATGGTGCATACCTCGGATTCGTTTACTAAAGTCTTGAACGAACCTGGCACGGAAAGCGGCCAAGTGCGCTCGTGAACTGAGGGCTGAGCAGCGGGTCGAACGAGCGCAGCAAAGAGAGAGAAGTGAGAAGGGGGGGGGGGAGGAGAAAAGAGGAGAAAAGAGTCTGTCGTTGCCCCTCCCGTACGCCTCATCGTTTTTTTTATCGCGGTGTGACTGCTCTTTGCTATAACCATCCTCGACTGGTTGTGCCCGTTTTCTCAGACTACGGGTTAGAGTAAGCCGCTACCGTGGGATAGGTGCGTGAGAGAGAGAGAGAGAGAGAGAGAGAGAGAGAGAGAGAGAGAGAGAGAGAGAGAGAGAGAGAGAGAGAGAAGAAGTGAGCTTTGGGGCACGTACCTAGCCAGAGCGAAGATCTGCACAGTCGAATCTGCATTTAAGGACTCAATCACCTCCAGCCAACCGCATTCGTTCCTGCCTGCTTACGCTGCAGGAAGCCAAAGCGGAGTGGGCCTGGTCTGATCTTCGGGCTAAGGGCATTCAGAGAGGGAGAGGACTGAGTAAAGGTGAAGGAGAGTGAGAGAGGACAACTCACCTTCGTCCAAACGTGGACTAGGAGGTGGCCGGAAATCAACGACCGGCTGCAGTGATCTACATGAAACTTGACACCAATCTATAGAGTGCACTTCTTACTAACATATTATTAAAAAAAATACAAAAAAAATAAAAATAAAAACACATAAAACAGCAACTCAAAAGTGCATTTTCAGGCAATTTGGCCAAAAAACAACTTCATCAAATTTCAGGATTTTCAGGATGATTAACAACACAAATTCTAATAACCCAAATGACACCAAATTTGACACACAACAAGCTTGTCCTGAAACAAAAACAAGCAAAAATAAAAAATAAAAAATAACACAAAATTTGACCCCGAAACCCTAATTTCAGGATCATTCATTGTTACCCAGGGCCAAAAAGTGGGGGTCCCCGTTAACCACTTGTGAGGCGGCACTTTTGCTGGTTTTTCAATGTGAATTTGCGTCCAGGAGTTTTGTCATTCCGCTATCGTCCGTTCTCCTTGAAGAGAAAAGAGACAGGAGGAGAAATGATCGAGAGTACACACCAGGAAGTCGCGATGGGTTGGGGGATAGCAACGTAAAGTTTAACGGTGTATCCTTCCATACTTCAGCAGGAGATTTGTGATCATTCTGCACTAGGCCAGACTCGTGGTCGCTAGGGTCGGGAAGTTGTTTGCTGCTGCAGTCGGCAATCTGGTTCTGCCTGCAATTACACAACAATGGTGTTGTTGTGGTGTTGGTGCCGGGACAGGGTGTGACAGTGTTGAAGCTCAAGACTGCTGTTGTAGCTTTTCTTTGGAGACCTGTGTTTGACTTTATACAGGCTGCAGCGAGGGCTGGTCCCCAACTGTTGGGTTTTGTTATCGAAGCCTAAGACTGTTGCCGCTTGTTTCAGCGGGGCAGTGAGTTCTTCTCTAAGTACTGTTGGACAGAACGAGGGCGGTTGCCTTTTTCCTATTTGAAGTTGTTGCTGATTGAGTCTTGCCTCGACCTTCCGTTCGCCACTGTTGTGCGGTCACTGGATCGTTGTTGAGCTGGGCGATCTTTATTGTCGTGTTGAGGAAGACACAATCCCCTTCCAAGCCAAGAGCTACTGTGCGTATGCTGTGCATTTTTGCGCAGGCGCTGTGAACCCACTGTGTTTTTTTTTGCATACGTTGTGCCTTGCTGTGTGACGCTGGGTACTACAATTTGGCACTGCACCTTGTCCTTCCCTGAGCTGTTGTTGGGCATTGTTGTTATGCCCACTGTTGCACACAGCTACTAAGCACGCTGCATACTTGTCGGGGTTTGCTGCCTTTTGCCTACAACTCGAATAGAGCACAAGGATGTGTTCTATTTGAACGCCTTTCCAAGCTACGTAGCAGCAAGTTTGACCAGGGGAAACGACGCTGCAATCGAGGGAAGTAATCAGAGTCTGCAACGGGGTTACCACTGCGTCTTGGAGGTTCGTCGGAGTTGCTGACCGTACTGCGTTTTGGCTGCGGGTTGACCGACATACAGCGTATTTGCCCATCATTGTGGGGCCCTCAGGCGCTTCAAGGTATCGAGGCCCTCTCATGCGAGTCTGAGTGCACCTCTCTTGTATCTGAGTGACTCAATCTCCCTTATTCTGCCCTTCTTGCTCTCACTCTAATCTTTTGGTTCAGAGAGGAATGCGGCAGGCGGGATTGAAACCCGTAATCCATGCCAAGGCCACTGTAGGACGTCCGCCCCACCGATTGCCGGAGCTCTACCAGGGTTCAGGCGGGACCCTGGAGGCAAGGAACTTTAAGGTAGGCCAACGCGATCTCCCTTAGAATCCCGTATACCCCTATCTATACCACCCTTCATTCAGTTTGACTGAGTTTTGTTTTTTTGTACATTTCCTTGACTTTAATTCAGGACTTTAACTGAATCAGAGAGAATTTACTATATTTGTCTAAATGTCTCTGCCTGAAATTGAATCCACGATGTCTGCTTGCGATGATTTGAACTGGGGCTGGAAATGAGGTCCTTTTGACTGATCCGGTCGCCTTGCTCCTTTTGCCTTAGACATTGAACTGGGGCTGGAAATGAGGTCCTCCAAACTGATCCGGTTGCCTTGAACTGGGGCTGGAAATGAGGTCCTCCCGGTTGCCTTGCTCGTTTTGCGTAAGATATTGAACTGGGGCTGGAAATGAGGTTCTCCAGACTGATCCGGTCGCCTTGCTCGTTTTGCCTAAGACATTGAACTGGGGCTGGAAATGAGGTCCTCCA